ATTCTGCCTGCCAGTTGAATGGGGGAGGACTCCAAGTCTGAATGCCAGAAACTATAAAAAATATTTGTATCTATATGATAAGTGGACCATGTTATAAAAATATGTACATACTCAACAAAATGTACATATAGAATAACAAAAGGACACATTAATTTTGCTGAAAGATGTAAGAAATCTTTGTCAAGATTTTGGTTTTTGAGTTGACCCTTAGAATATGAGGCAATTTATTGAATTATGATTCTTTTTTAACTCCATTTCAGACTCAAATGGATTTGCAGTAATTCAGTTCTGACACCAATCACCTAGAATTAAAGCAAACTTCACTAGTTAAGGGGAACAGACCCAACAACACTGCTCTTACTGTAGATATTTTCTGCTACTTCGGGTGTCTCCAGGACATTCATGCTTCTTATTTAGTGATCTTTGGAAAAACAAAAGCTCTAGTGAATGAGCACGTGTACAGGTGTGTTGAGATAGAAAATTTTAAAAATCAGTTCATATCATTATTAGGGCTGACAAATACAAAACTTGTAGAACAAGTCATCAGTCTTGAAATTCAGGTGTTAATGTTGAAGTCATGAACTGAATTCTGTAGAACAGACAGAACAAGTTGGAAACTCAGGAAAGATCTTATAAATACAGGGTCCTAAATCCCTCCTCATAGTGTTCAGTAAATGGCTACGGTTAAGCTTCTAGGTCTGCTATAAATGATACAGAGCAGGAGATCAGTTAAGTAAAGAGCCATGTAGGCCAGTGTTGGAGAGGGAACACAGATCATTCTTTTGTCATGGAATTAGGGCACGTCATGTTCCAAGCACATCAATGTATTTACCAACCAAAATGCTACACTTAACCCCAAAGTTCAATTAATTAGGAGACAATTAAGTCCCAAATTTCTCTTCCTGTATGTAGCTGGTCTTTTTGGTGATGAGCTACATTCTGAAGCTATTTAGCAACACACTCTGAGCCATCACATTAATGTGACAAAGACACACACTCAGGAAATTCTTAAGTTTTAGAAACTCTATGCCAGGAATCCAAGACAAAGACTGGACAGATTTCTTACCACATGACGCATATAATGGAAATACGGGCAATAGGAATGGTGTAATTGGTTTACTAAATCTCACTGATTATTCTAATTAATGATCTCCAGATGAAGCCATTGTTGAGCACACCAATCTGATTGCCCTAGTCAGCTATTTGGGACTACTTTAAGGTACATTCCAAGTAACACAGAAATAATATAGCTTTCAGAGAGACATTAAAATACTGTGATAATTTATATATAATGAATTAAAAGAAAGATGTAGTTAATTCAGGATGCTATAACAAATATAGATTATGGCTTAATTAAAACCTGAGCTTCTTTCTCATAGTTCTGGAGGCTGGAAGTCCAAGATTAAGGCCCTGGCAGACTTGGATGAGGCCCAAATCCAGGCCTTTGCCCTAGTCACCACCTTCTCTCTAGTATCCTCACATGACAGAGTACGGTAACATGACAGAGTGTCCTCACATGACAGAGTACGTTAACAAAGTGCCTGGGGCCTGTTTTGCAACACTGATTCCGTTTACTGGAGCTCTGCTTCATGACTTAATCACCTCCCCAAACATTTCCATTTCACAATTCTATAATCACGGGGACTAGGAGTGCAGCATGCAAATTTTGGGGAAGGCACAAAATTCACACCATAGCAAGAAATATGTTTTTTAGAAAGTTCTAAAAAGGCAAATATCTCTCCCAGGCAAACAAGATATCCCAGGTCTTGAGTAATTTCATTAATATGTAAAAGCAATAAAACTAAAATGAAGAATGTGCCCTCCACACCCTGTAGGTCATTTGTCAGCTATAAAATATTGCAAAAAGAAAGACTAGCGGAGGTATCTTTTTTAGGCCAACCTAAGGACCTTGTAAAATGAAAGGTATATCTCACTGGCAGATGAATGTATTTTTTTTATTTAAATAAAGCCAAAACAAAATAGAAAATGGGTAGAAATACTACAATTTTCAAAGGAAAAAATAAACAATAATAAATCACTAGTTGATATTTACATATTGACCTCTTACAAATAATTGTTCAGGATGCAAAAGTGGAACATATAAATGGGAATTCAACCAGGGAGACTGCAAATAGTTCTGTTCAACTATCTAATAAAACTTAGTAATATGGTTATCAATCCTAAACACTTAAATATACATGCATTTATCCACATCTTCATTTATGGTGATAGTAAACAAACCAAAGCAGACTAAAATCACTCTGAACAAAGAAAAATAATATTGCTTGATTTCACACCATGACACTCCGGACAGCACTGGGTACTGAGGCGCCATTTTTTCCTTCAAAGTATTTGTTCATTTCATCATGTGTCATAAGATCAGTTCTCGTAAACTGTTTATAGGATTTACACAAGCATGAGGCTTAACATGAATTTCTATCTTTTCTATATTAGAGGGAGAAACAGAACAAAGCAGGACAGAAAAAAAAACATTCCTATAGACACATAAAACTAAAAAGACATATAAAACTGCTGTACAATGAGTTCTACCATGGTTACTATGTTGTCTCTTGTTAACACCAATAGAATTGGCTATATCATCAGATAAAGTATAATTGAATATATCAGTACATAACAGTAGTAACAAAAATACAACTTTGTAGATAGTGTAGAACTACAAAAACAGGTAGCAATCAAACCAGAATAGGTACTGTAGTGAATCATTGTCATTTTCAGTATAGTTGTCTATACTCTCTGACTTGATACTCAGATGAATGCATTAAATCCTTGTTTAACTATACTGGTGTTTTAATCTTCATGACACTTGTTTGGATTCCAGTAACCCAAACAACCCATTAAAATTCTCCTTCCAATGAGATATCTGTCTCTAGGACAAAGTTCTTGCATTTACCAGGTAAATAAATACCTGGGTTCATAAGATGGCACAGCTCACTGAAAAAGAAAGTCCCTAAATATGCATAGATGAGAAATCCCCAGTCCTGCATGACAAACACAGATAAGGTTGTTGCCATGTTGCCTCAATATTGTTGTAGCACAAAATTCAAGGGTAGAATGTGGTCAAAGAAGGCCGAAGTCTTTCTCCACTTCCTCAACCCCTCAAATGTCTCACCGCACACAAGTTCCTGAGACTATCAACCATGTTCACAAATAAAACGATCGAGTGAGGGCCATGAGTTCAAGAGGCAAAGACAACTAGCTGTCCATCCAAATTTGTACCACACTCCCAATAGTAGATTTTCACTGGCAAGAAGTTTTCCAGCAGGGACTACACTTCCCAGCCTCTGTTGCATTTAGATATAATTACATGACTAGTTATTGTCAAGTAAAACTCAAGCAGAAATGTTATGTGTCACTTCCATGCCAAAATTTTTCAGCTTTCTCCATATCCTCTTTCTCTTTGAACACAGATATCATTGACCATAGCATCCAGGGAACAGCAGAACTAGAAAATGGAAAAAGCTTAGAACTCTTTTTCACTACATGGAAGAAAGCTGTTCACTGTCTATGAATGCATGATATGTAATTCTGCCCCATGAGTAAAGATAAACACATATGTTGTGCTTGAGCTTTTATAAATTTGAGAATTTATTTGTTATGCTGTACAGTTAGTGTATCCCTAACATTATAATTCTACTTATGTATCAATCTATGTCTATACCCTGTATACTGCTTAGCAGTGTCTTGGAATATAAACTGTTAAAAGAACCTCCACTGAAACCTAAGCTCTCTCATTCTCTCAAATCATCATGCTCAGATGAGGTTTTTTATTGCATTGGGAAATATGAGCATTGTATTCATGATGGTAGACTAATTGTTTAACATTCTAATTTTTGTGTCAATTTTGATATTGCTCAATATATATATATATATATATATATATATATATATATTCCTTTTTGAAAAATTGACCTATTCCTAGTGGGTTGACACATTCGAGTCTTTGAGGCTGAGTCTGCATTAAACAGTCCTACACTATGAGAAATCTTTTAGCTTAAAGGCTTTTTCTCTTCTATAATGCCTGGGAGGTAGATATGTGCTATTGCCTTCAAACTTTTATAATTTTAAAGACAAGGAAAGGATGATCCACTAGCCAAAATTCATGAATTACGTTGGTCCACCAAAGGTGGGTAAACAACAAACTAAACACACTAAACATACACAAGCCAAATCTCTTTACTCTTCACTATTCAAAATTTTATCTAAAGAACAGAGTCATCAATATCATAGTGAAGTTTACTAAGGAGGCAGAAGTTCAGTCCCTATCCCTGACTTTTGAATGAGAGTTAACCCTTAACAACATTCCCAGGCAGGTGAGTGCTCAGTAAAGGCTGAGAAGCCCAGCTGCAGACTTCCACCTGCTCGGCCACCTCACTGCTGTCCCCTCTCCATGGTGAAGGACCTACAGGAGTTCAATCAGCTTGCAGCTCATTTGTTACTTGAGAAGCAGTTGTTACGAAGAGAAAATCAGTCAGAAAACTTGAAATCACACTATTAGGGAAGATCCCAGAAATAAATTTAAAAATTCTGACAAAACTGTTTCAAAATTCATCTCTGGTTTATCCTAAACTTCAGCAGTCCCCCAAAGGTTGCAGCAAACACTTGTTCCCCATGCCCCCTCGTTCCATTCTAATGGTGTGACCCAGTAAGTGAGCCCATCCCATGGAAGTCCAGTCTTTCACCAAGTAGACCAGTCACTTGGTCTACTTCCTCTCCTCACCAGTGTCATTATTTCCACTGTTTATGCAAGTATGGGAATTTTCTGAGTATAAATCCCTGCACTGAAACTTAAATACAGCTTGGGATGGTGGCACACACCTGTAATCCTACCACTCGTGAGGCCGAGGCAGGAGTACCACCACAAGTTTGAGTCCACCCTGGGCTACATAGTGAGTTCAAGGTCACCCTGAACTACACAACAAAACCCTGTCTCAAAATAAATAAGTAGAAATAAAAGAAAATATAAAAGAAAAGGCCATGCATTTTGGAATAAAATAAGCTTCTTTTTATTTGTATTCACCAAGGAAACAAAATTAGTAAGCTCTGTAAATTTTATATAGCTAAATGTACCTCTTTTCCTTCTATTTTAATCTTCTTTTACAGAGTCACAGGACAGTAAATAAAGTGGAACTATGGGGAACATTTGCATCTACAAGAAGATCACCCATAACAAGTAAAACATCTCTATCTAGGAAAAATTTTCAAATCTCAGTTAATGCTTTCCTTTTTCCTTTTTCCTTTCTTCCTTTCTTCTTTCTCTCATCTTTTCCTCTTTCCTTCCTCTTTCCCTACCTTCTTTCTTTTCCTTCTAAATTAAAATTATAGTTTGAGATTTTTTATGACAATGAACATATTCCAAATAACTAAGTAAGATTATTAAAGCTCTATTGCTTTTGAAATTTCAGATCTTTCAGAAACTTTAGTTTGCATCTTATCAACATCCATAATGCTGGACTTCCTTTAAATTCATTCTCCTCTCTGAAATTTCCAGATTTACAAAAAACTTTTATTGGAAGAACTTCATAATCTCCAGGTTTTGGTCATCATCAAAACAAAATAGGCATCAGTGTCAATGGAAGCACTAACACCTGCATAATAATTCAAAAAGTCTTCTTCTGAAACCTAAAGGGAGAAAGAAAAGGTGTCAAAATATGGAAGCCATAGTAGAACACTTCCACTACCCCTCAGATGTCTCCTATTGAGTGTGATTCATAACTTGCAATGAACAAGGGATGAGCCAATCAAGTAGCCTTTGAATTTTCTTTCTCTTGATGTGGCTTTCTGAAATAAGATATTTTCAATCGTGGCCATAGTCTTACCCACTCGTGGTCAGTTACTATTCCCCCCCATCACTATAATTTTTGCAGTAAGATAAGGTCTCTAGATCTCTACTACATTATCCAATAAGATAGTCATTAGCCAGCTGTGACTATTTAAGCTTATACTAATTAAAATTAGGTGAACAAAATGTTCAGTTCCTCCATTGCACTAACCATATTGCATGTCTTCATTAGCCCTACGTGGCTGATGACTCCCACACTGCAGAGCACAAAGAAAAGACAGTTTCATCATGACACAGCAAGTTTTACAGGACAGCACAGCTCCAGAGTATACACTCTGTGACCATATTTGTACTCATGGGTTCTTCACCTGTGATTCACCTATCTCCATTTGAAGTTATTCAAAAAAACAAAATGCATGTCATCATTTCCTAAATGGAGCACCTATATTGTATGAAGAAGTTTGTGCCATTTAGAGATGATTTAAAGTACATAGGAGGATTCAAGTACATTGTATGCAAAAATCACGCCATTTTATATAACATATTTGGAATCCAAGGATTTTGTTTCTTGTGGCAAGTCCTGAAAGGAAATTTCTATTGATAAAAAAGAGGAAATACTGTTTTTTAGGGTAGAGAAATTCATAGCATAAATGAGACCAATAAAAAGTACCTTAGGAAAAAGTAGATTAAGACTAAACACATAGATAGAAATAGAGAAGAGAGAGAGAAGTTGACAGGGTCCTCGGGTGGCTAGGAACGCACAGCAACACAGTGTTCCATGGTAGAGTGCAGAGACAAGCCGTATGAGAGGTCCTAGGCCAACTTTCCCATTTTAGCCATTCAGCAAGGATGTGTGTATTTCATGATTAAAAATTTGATTTCTATGATGGGGAAATGAGGTTATGAGCAAGATGCACAGAGCAGGAATCAACATTGGGTACCGTATCTCTTCCATATTAACCTCTCCTATTCCTTAATACCAGCAGTAGAGCTATACCATCCCTCACAGTCCTAAAACTTCTGAAATATGGTTGACTTGCTAGATAGGTGTAAGTCTATCCCTGTAGGCATAAAAATAACAGCATCACACTTTCAAGTTCTTATTATCAGTTGTCAGTACAATGATTTTATGAGTAACAATGTTGTATCTTTTTAAAAGTATGGAAAAATACAATATGAAAAAGACCTTATCATTTTCTAAGAAATTTCATCATCTACCAGAAACAGTATACTGATAACATTTTAAGTGACCCAAAAGCACCATTAGGGAAGTGAATGTGAATGAAGCATATTGTTAGTGAATTGAAATATATTTTGGAAGCACAAAATTGAAATGGAAAGCTACATTTTCTTTCTTATTGTAAGTTGCTATTTCAAGCAAATTAAAAATTCTTTTAAATCAGAGTCATATTAACGTGAAGCATAGTTTGAGAATGTGATAAAAATAGCAAAGTTGATAATATAAATTAAACTCAAGTTTGGTAACTCAGAACCCTCTCAATCTGTGATTTCAAGAAATGATATTCCAAATATTTTCATTAAGGCAGGTTTTTGTTTTCAGTGCAATGCAATGCAATGTAGTTTACCATGTAAGCATGTGCAACTTTTAAAATGCAATATTTTAGTATATCTGCTGCCAAAGCAAGCACGTAAATAAAATATTTTAACATTTATGTCATAAATATGAAAATTCTTCTGTACCAAACATGATGTTATTTTAAAATCAATCTGTATTCCATTTCCATTTTGAAAATACTACCAAAGTATGATTCACACATGGGAACACCTTGCTACATAAAGTATTGATGATGAGACAGTTTCTTAATAATATGTGGGGCTCTGTATGGCTAGCATAATGATTACATTTATATGCAAACAGATATTCCCAGAGACCTGTAAAATTTATATAAGCACAACTATTTTAATCATCTAAGCAACACTGATTTACTTAACAACCTGCTTCCATTTTTATTTTTAGTTTAAATGAAATAAAAGTAAATTTTTACTCAGTGCTTTCTAAATGTCTTCAATCCATAGAGCCTGAACTTTTAGTGATCTGCCATATATTCTTTGCAGCTTCAACAACAATCTTAAGTCAATGGATTTTAAATGATATTGCTAAATAAGATTTCAGACATGACTAAGTATGAAACTTATGCAAAGGTACTTTATTCCCCAGTTCCCTTGGAAATGAAAGCACTAGTCTGGGTTTAGTAATACAGTTCCTGACATTTGGTAGTAGCCTGCATTTGCGTAGAACTTCATCCTATTGATGTAGAACCAGAGTCTCCTGATAGCCTCAGAAGGAGGCTGCACCTCTATATGTGTCATTTGCTCTCAATTTCAGGTCTCCATTGTATACTAAGTCTCTCTCAAAGTGCTGACTATCATCATTTCTGCCTGAGACCTAAGCATTTCCAGGAGACAAGCCACTGAAACCTTTCAAGCTATGTTCCCAAATCAGTACTAATCTCTGAGCACTAAGGTTTAAAATTAGTAAATTCCATTATGAAGAACCAGGACAAGAATGTATACCAAAGAAAAAGGCCATTACATTTTGAGGCTTTCTATCCCTTTTGGACTGTAAGGTCAATATCAAAACCTCAGCTACTGTGAGTGTTTACATGCTCAGTGGATTTCACTCCTCAGGATCACCTTCCACTACATTTTGCTGAGGAGAAAACTGGCTTTGGCAAAGCAGGTGTGAGAATGAGACAAGAAGGTCATGCTATTCTCAGAGAGGAAGGGCTGTTTCACCACAGCCTCTCACCGCACCAACCAAGACAGCAAGAAGAATTCTTCCCACACAGTGGTGTTCTCAGAAGCCCCATCAATCACTTGTTTATATTTCTTTCAACAGATTTCACCTGTCATCCCTTTTAGAAGAAATAACTTGAAGAATTAACTTAGTGGGTTTTTCCATCAGAATAAAGAAACTACCCCTATCAAAAGTACACAGTTTTCATATAAGCATCTTGGAGAAATTAAACCACGTTAAGATACACTGGCTATCAAAAGAATCAGTTATGTGAATATCCCTAATATTATATGATAGTCTGAAAGACCCCAGGCACCTTGTTTTTTTGCTTTGAGTCATAGCACTTCTAACATTTAAAGAGTTGTTGTTTGATTCAAAAAACTTAATTTAACAGACCCTTAGATACCCTTTGAATCAGGCACATTTCTAAGATTTAAAACTTTTGGTTGACTCAATAAGTTCTTTAAAAGAATAATGAATTATTTCCAAGAAATCATATTTGTTGATAAATTTAGAAAATTGGAAGTTGTAATGTTTTGTATTCTACAGCCAAAATAGATGTACATAAATCCAGAATGTATACTACTCAGAGAGTATTAATAGAATTTCCTGAGGCAGAAGTAGAAGGGCACCCATACACCATCCAAGAATATATTTGGTTAACTTTATCTGTTCACTTGGTTAAGCATCAGCATCACAAACTGTACCTGAAGATAGCTTCATGAGGGTAGAATCATTACCTACTTGTTCTCTTCCTGGTTCAAGAGGCAATCTACACTGACAAAGAGAATAGAAAGCATATGACAATACACTGTCTCTAAGAATAAGTAAGGATTATGTTTACACGGTCATTTAGGTGCCTATGTTCATCAAATTGACTTCACAGTTTCCCAACACAGTGTTATACAGAGAGAAAGCTCTGGTTTGAGGGGCTGGCTGGGACTCGTGGAGAATTTCTGTACCCAGGCTCCTTTTTATTCACTGTGCCCTCTTTCATCATTTGCCAACTGTGAGTCATTAGTTTGATATGAAAGCTATTGATTATTTTTGTATTTATTCAAGTTTGCTCCTCTATCTCCACATCCCAGAAGAGTATATGGCCAATAAATACTTATTAAGGGGTTCTATTTTCAAGCTACAATGCATGTCAAGTCAATCCAAAGTCTTCATGGACCAGCTCTGTCTTCAAAGCTTCTATTTGAGTAAGATAGGCAACTCCATGCCTACTGCTAAACCATCATTGCAGGAACACTGTTCTCCAGCGTGCCATCCGGAAGCCATCAAAATTAAATTGCTAGTGCAAACCAGAACTAAAAGCTGGCAGGAAGAATTCTGCTTAATCTACAACCCAAGACATCATTACACTGTGAGTGGAATTCAAGTACAGTGTGCAGGAACTTGCTGTGTCGGAGTCTTTTACTGTCTTTGCATAGATATACCATGAGTATTCAGAACCTAGCCCCAGTATTGTTATGGGTGACTTATCAAAGAATGCTTATCTACATCAGTCCTGTTTCCTGAAAACCTGCTAATGGCAAACTCTTGTCTTTGGCTTGTTTAATGTTTTATATGGGTCCAGGCCAAACAGGTGAGATGCTCTTGAGAAACATTTTGGGAACTTTTTATTATGTTGTATCTTGACACAAGTGTTTACTTTTTAAATTGATTAAGGAATGGGGTTTAAAATATGGAAGTTAAATAGCAGAAAATTATCAATCTTTTAAAAAACATATTCTTCTATGTTCTTCCCACTGTTACTAGTGGAAGAGTTAAATAATGTGCTGACTATTCAGGAAATCTTACATAATGTTGAGAATAGGAATGTATAATCCTGGACCACTTTAAGGTTCTTAGGAGATCTAATTTCCAGAGGCTGAAAAGGACTTCATGGACTCTCATTCATAGACACAGAACTCAAAATGCAAAAAGGGAATAACTGAATGTGTCTGAATATTCTGAGACATAGGTTATTTCAAGTTGGACAGCTGTGCCCTGTGACCACATTAGACAGGAAACAAACTAGCAGTGATGGAGACAAGGCTGATGACGACAGCGGAGGCCCTGCTCAGTGTCATAAGCTCACTCTGTACCCCCATTAAATAAGACATGAGTCATAACTAGAATCAAAGGTGTAATTCTATCTAAAGCAGTAGGCTTGAAACCTCATCATGCCCAGAAAATGGGGGATCTTTCCTTAGCCACATTTTTCAGCGTGCAGACTACAAAAGTATAGATTTTTTTTGCTACATTTCTTCATAACTTCTTTTGGGTTTCCACATTTTGCTTCACAAAATTTGGTACCTTTTGGTCTTTCAGCCTATGCATAAGTACAGATAACAGATCCAATGGAAAAAAAAGATTTATGTTATTTAATTTAGCAAAACACTCTTATATTTCTATGATATGAGAACACTCAAACTCAAGACAAAGTCTCTTTTCCAGCCTACCCCTTGGATGAATAAGGGTTCAGCTTCCAGACAAGAAACAAAGCAAGGTACCCTATTAATTGATAGCTGTAATTCTCATCTGGTAGTGCCTGTTTTCACAATTTTTAACTCAATGATTTCGACTTCCAAGTCTGTGAAATACAAAGTAAATAAATCAATTAGTACAAAAATGGTAAATGTGTTTAGTCTTTAAATCCAGAGCTACATACAAAATCATAAAGTAAACCATTAAACTAACTTATTTCCCCAAACCAGGGAATGAATACAGTGAAGACAAAAGTGAGAAAAAGGAATTCTGGACAACAAAGACAAGTGATAACTACCTATACTCACCACAGCCAGAGTCTGCTGACTGTGTTTTATCTCTGATCAATGACAAAGAATAAACAGCATAAGAACTACAGTTTCAGTGAATATTTTCTAGAAGCTGGGGCTGCTTCTATAGCTACTGGCATTGCCAGAAGATATTTTCATATGCCAACAATATAAAATGAGAGATCAATCCTTGAAGGAAGAAGCTTGAGCCATGAAGTATGGAGATAAAAATCTATTCTGGAATATGCCTATGATCCTTGGCTATGTGACACCCTTTGTGCTGATGGAAACATCATCGTGATTAGCCAACCACAGGAAAGGGGTGAGACAAACATTCTGCCAGGTAAAGTTTTCTGGCATCACAGTTTAAAATGTTCCTGGTAAAATCTGAGACCACAGCAAAGCTTCAAAACTTTAATCAAAGGAATATATGAATAGTCAAGGGTCTCTCAATCAAAGAGGGGGACTCCACCCTTACATCAGTCTTCAAAAATGCCTGAAAACATAGTCATTTTCAAACTACTTGCCAGACTGAAGTATTCAAAACCTTGGGTAGTGAAACTCAAGATTCAAAATTGAGGCTAACACGTGGTCTCTTTCTGGTTCCCAAACAGAAGCTGAAACACTCAAAGATTTATAATCATAAAAGTAGAAATATTTTTCCATCTAGAAACAGACTATCTAAAAGATTAAGAAAGGTTGAGTCACACAGATCGGGGTGGGGTTATAATTAGAATATTTAAATTTTCATTAATGGCCAAAGAAATACAAAGTTGGTTGACATTCTTTAAAAGCATGCATCAGTTGTAGCACTAAAAACTTTACAGATATCATTTTATTTAATTTCTATATTAGATCTAAGGAAACAGCTTGAGTGGAGGCAAGTTTATGGTTAATTGTTTTACTGTCTTTATTTCTGCTGTTTTCTTAGCCCTAGAAAATACAATGTGTTGACAAGAAGGGAACACTTCTAGGAACATGAAATCAAACAAGGTCCTGGGTCTTGAGCTGAGATTTGATCATTTGGAATCAGCGTCTGTCTCCAGCGCCTCGTCTCCTGTTGTGATGCCTTTAGAGGTTCCAGGCAGTTGTCATCATGACAATAAAGTATATGTCAGTGTCAATGGATGCACTCACGCCTGCATAGTAGTTCATGAACTCCTCAGGGGTCACCTGCAGTGGAAAAGTTAGAAATAAAAGAGAAACATTCTTCTCACCCTTGCTACGGAAGCCCATCTTTCATCCCTGTAAACAGAAGGGAAATGTCCACCAAAGAGGTTTTGTGTGTGATCATGACTGAGGAGTAGATCTAAGAAGAAAGAAAAGTAAATGAAATTGAGGATGGCAGTGAGAGTGGCTCAGGAAAGGAGAAGAAAGTCTCGAAAATATTCAAATAGATATTGTATCTATTGATATCAAATCTACAATATCAAATAGATATTGTATCTATTGATGCGTTTATTCTCCTTATAAAAACCAGCCTAAATGGAAAATGAGGCACAAGTTGTCATTTATTTTAAAGCAGGACTTCATCACTTCAGTGAGTAAAGCTGAAACTCAGAATAAGAAACGAATGTCCTCTAAGTGTAGTTAACGCTATTTTCCTGTGGCACGTCAGCAACATGCAGTATCATGCGTCAGTCTAAGTCATTTTCCACTTTCCAAAAAACAGGTGCTGTCCTAAGGATAAAGAAATAGATTTCTGGTCAAAGATGCCTGACTTACACACATTTCTAAGAGACAGATTACTCATTCCAGGCTCAGAGCGAACAAGCCTTTACCTCCTGTTTAAAGCCTACCACCCCACTCCAGGTTCCATTTCCATTCTACCCCTGTGACAGTTAATTTAGGGTATCAAGTAATGTGTTCTCCTATACTCAGAGTTTATGTTACTTTCAGGTTGGAAAGAAATTTTAGAGTTATAAAAGTTGTTTTAACCTTTTCTAATTTTTCTGTGAAGCATTATGGATGATTATGCCTTTGATACTAAAATGGTGACTGGTTTTTGAAAATCGCTATGAAACTTTTGTGTTAATAAGTGTAAGTGATATGAGCATTGCAAGTCAGGACTGTTGGCTGACACGATTAGTTGAGTCAGGGGAAGAATTGTCCTCCTGGTTGACAAACCTCTATGGTTAGTTTAGCTCAAAGAATGGAGTTGCTCATATGGAAGGATGCAAACCCAGTGATGATGGCCACTTGGGAAATTCTTTTTCTCAAGTTTCAGCACTAACATCACAAGAAGGAAAACCTATAATTGCATGAAAACATCTTTTTAGTCCATGGAAATTTCAAGAATTGTAAAAGTCATTGATCCTTTAATTATGCTAAAATTATAAGTAAATATAAAAATAAAATTCCAAGATCCACAGTTACTTTTCCTGAACTGGCTTCCCTGTACCAACACGCACAAAAGTGAAAGGCATTAGGAAAAATGGAATTGGACAGACTGAGTCTGAAGAGTGGAGTTGTGCTTGCCAGTGATCTATAAATACAAATAGATATTGTATCTATTGATGCGTTTATTCTCCTTATAAAAGAATTTCCCAAAGACCTTCTCTATATCAATTTTTTACATATTTAACCTATGATTCAAAGCACAAAATTTTGACTCAACTTTCATATTTTTATTTTCACTTACTAATGTAATTTACTAATATAATTAGTAAATTATAAATTTTGACTAATGTAATATCCCTTACAAATTTTTTTATCACAGTGCCTAGTTAATGAGACTTCTAGAAAGAGGGAGCAGTACGCATTAACAAATTAACCTCTCCAATATTTGGAACCTAGACATTAGAAATACAACAATTTGGGGAAGAAAATAAAGAGGGAGGTAGGTCCCCAGGACCCAGGGCGATCTGGAAAGAAAATTGGAGCGCACAGAGAAAGTGAAGAGCCAGACTTCAAGGCTAAAAGAGGAGGGGGAATCTTGTACTTTCTCTCTGGCTCCTGGCTTTTGTTGTGAGAAAGTAGAATCAAATCTACAGAGACACTGTGAGGATGGGTGATTCCAGAGGCCTCTGGTGAGAAACACGGAGTAGAATGGAGCGGTGGAAGCTGTATGCTACAGCAGCTGTGAGTGACTCCAGTCTAAAATATTGCTGTGTCCTGGGGAGAGACAGTGGTTGGTCAACATCACGTTAGGGTGGGGCCAACTGAACCAAGGATTTGCAGTGGCCATGGGTTGGGTTGATCTCAGGGCTCCCAGTGTTGAAACCCCACAGGGACTGCATGAGGGACAACTATGGAAGACATGCAGGGTCAGGGAGCCATGGTCAGGTCAGCAAGAGACACCCAGAGTGTAGTAGGCTGGATGATCAGGCCCCAAGCCCATGATCAGAGGGTGGGATCAGTCTGAATTTCTGTGGATTTCAAAGGACCAGAACAGATGCCCTTCTGTGATACGACTGCAGGTTTCCTTAGATATCCAGCACCCTTTCCCAATCCTACTGCAGGCTTGCTGGGATTCTGCTGGGCTCCGGCTGCCCCATTTGTCTACCAGAAAGACCAGAGTCACATCCTGAATAGACACTACCACAAAACTCTAGACCACACAAGATACCCATAGGCCTGAAATTATAGAGAAGTCTACCTCTTTTATTTTTAGTGTTTGTTTTTGTTTCTTCGTGAGTGTGGATGTGGCTTTTGAGATTTTTGTTTTGCTTTTTGTTTTTTCCTTCTTTTTCCCTCTCATCTTTTTACCAGTTTCCTGAAGCTTGAGTAATCTTCCTTTGTCCTTTATCCTTGCTTCTAGTCTCTCTCTCTTTTTTTATTTCTGTATTGTTTCCTCTTATCCCTTTTAAATTTCCTTCCCATTTTTTATTTGTCTTAGATCATATATATATATATATATATATATATATATATATATATCAGTTATATCTTAATACATAACTATAAATCTTATACCTATAAAGGTAGCAAGTTAATAGTTATTGCAGTTTGTTATTTTCTAGTATGTGCTTAATGCTAATGTTAATACTGACTGTACTACTTTAGCCAAGGTGACATAGTTGTGATCAATTGACCTTCCTTGTATACCAACACATTGATTATCTAGGGGTGAAAAGCCATACCATAGTCCAGTACCAAAGAACCGAGTACTAGGTCAAACAGGCAGCACCTTTCATCCCTAATAAAATGAACAGGTAGGATCATGGATTCAAAACCAAAACTGAGCTATGCCTAGACAACATCTCTAAAAAGTAACCATTTCCTAAAGAAGTCTCGATACTAGCAATAAAGCTATCTACTATAAGCAATTTACAAGCCTCAATGCAGAAATAATGCCTGGTTGATAAATAACTCAATAAGCATCCAGATTGGAATCTTTATGTTAAATGAGGCTCATGTGCATATTACTTTTAGTAATGAAAAACAAGAATTTCAGGGCAGGGGATATGGCTCACCAGTACAGTGCCTGCCTAGCAAGTACAACGTCCTGAGTTCAATTGTACACATGCACACGTGCGCATGCACACACACACACACACACACACACACACACACACACACACACATACACACACAGGCATTTCTGAATATCTTAAAACTAAAATCTCAAATATGAATGTATACAAGAGACAACTTCCACATTTGTTAAACACATATATCTTTGGGCTCCACTCCTTAAAAGTCATTCTGTGGTTCCTCGAGCAACCAGTAATCTGAATTATTCATACATAGCTGATAATGATGATCATGAACTGCAGGGTTGGGCATTGCTATGCTATTCAAGTGACATCAAATGCTGTAATTGTGAAAAACCTCAATAACCTTTTGAGAGATTAATGTGTCTGATTAAGATAAATGTCAAGAGGAACAGGAGTGAGGACTTTAAACCATCTGAATCACAACAATTAGCCACGTTGACTTGAGCTAGAGGAAAGAGCAGCTGAAGTCCCCCCGGGAGTAAGAGGAACCACCTGCAGGAGGAAGAAAACCGGTCCTGGGATCCACACGAGGTTGGACTGCTTAGGGGAAATGGCAGTTGGCTATTTTTCCACTGATGTCTCAGAGATCAAAAGCCAGCAGTACTAGAAGAAAATATGCAGTTCTGTTATTTATGTCTAAGCATTCAGCTGCCCTGCCAAATCTAGGCCCCCTTGCACATTCCTTGGGCTAAATTCAAAGGTACTTCTCCACCCCTGATAAGAAAATAGCCACAGAAAGGAAAGAAAAATTTCTTTATAATAGAACTATTCATAAAAGTTTTGTGGAAAAAGTTGGGGGCAAATCCTTTCAAAATAGAACAGATATTATTTTTCCTTCCCCAATTCGGCACCTGTTCTTCCTGTCCACTGTCCCACATTTCTTTTCCAGTGTGGCCAAGGAGTTAAGAAATAACACAGCCAGGATTCTGCCATTGTTGATTAAGGCTAAAGAGAGAAATTCCTCCATCACCAAACCTGCTAAGGGCTCACTCACCTAAGGGTAAAACCGGCTTTGTGTTAAGAAAAGTCCACTTAGGGGTGTTAATAAAGACATACCACATTTCCATCTCAGCCTAAATGCAGTGACGGAGAAGTGATTCCTTATCCTCCCAGGCTATGCCTTTGTAATTAACTATTAATGAAGATGGAGTGGTTGCTTTCATTTTCAGGTTCATTGTAATTAAGAAATGCAAGTTAACCTTAAAGGATACTAAAGAACAAATCAAGCAAATCCTGTTGCCTGGCACTCCCTTTACCAAAAGCTGTCTTCAAAACATTTGCACATCACACAGCAAAATGTGATGACAACTGATGCTGAAAAGGGTAAATGTATGTTGTGAATCTGTCAAAAAGTTAAAGTTAAATTGTGGTCTCGTTTTGATGTTAAACATATTTTGTTGTAGTTTCATTTTGGAGAATGTGGCTAGCAAAGTGTGCTGAGTATCGTAGTCATGACATGGAGTTTCTAATCACAATATCACATTTTCCACAGGATGAGCACTTAGCAATATGTGGTTCCCCTACCTACATACTGTACGTCTGCAGCTCTGTGTATGTGTGTCTTTCACATATATTTTATTACTTTAGCTTCCAGCTCTCTAGATGGTCTGTACAGAAATATTTTATTTCTATTTATAACAAATATGATATTGATATGTTGAATCTTTAAGGTTTTAGACCTATTTCACATTTACAATTCAAGTAAAAGATTTTTTTTAACTTACCAATCCATCTTTTTCATAGGGTGAATCAAAATTATCCAGAAATTTCCTGAAGACTTGCTCTTCGGTCCATTCTCCATTTTGGTACTTTGGATGGTGTTTTGCGTTATATACTCCACGCAGGTCTTCAATTGTTATAACACCATCTCCAGTCTTGTCTAACTTTCTAAAAGCTCGCAAAATGACCTCTTTTCTAGCTCTAGACATTGGAGGCTAGAAAAACAGAAAAGCACATAGGCATTCACCATCTACATGCAAATAAGCTTTCCTGGTCTCATGTGCAGTGACATTTTTTTATTCTCCCCAATGTCAAGATGTTTGTGGGCTGCTAAAGGAGATGAATATTGATTGTCCCACACAGTCTCAGTCTGCAGTCTCTTGCCCACTCCTACACAGTGCACTAACAACCTCTAAAAGCAAAACCTCACAATAGCCAACCCAAACCACGTGAAAGCCAAACTCACCAGATAACACTGATTCACCCCGCCACTTACTCTTAAAGTGAGAAGAAATTCGTTGAAGTCTATGGTTCCACTTCCATCTTTATCAAACCTGCGGAAAAGTTCTTCAGCCTCTTCCTTTTCCATAACCACTGCGTAATCATTTAACCCTTTCAAAAATTCTTTGAAATCAAGGGTTCTGTTGTTATTGTCATCCATAATTCGAAACACTCTGAAGAAAACACACAGAAAAGAAGAAAAAACCCACGAAGAACAAGGTGTGGATGTGAAGATTTAAATAAAAAATCACTCTCAAAGATTGCTTAAAGTTAAATATAATAGTCTAGATTCTTTTCTGCACCCCAGCACTACTAAAATTGGAGAGCCTCTTCTTAGCCCGTCATAAAGAAGAAGAAACTCTAAACACACACATATACACACAAACACGCATACAGTTGCACTGTACGGTTCTGATTACATCTTGAATGTCCCCTGATGGCTCATATACTCAAAGGCCTGTTCATCAGCGTGCGATGCTATTGGGGATTAGTGGTGCCCTTAGGAGATGGAGCCTAGTGAAGGTTACTGGGGTGCACCTTTGGTATTCTGCATCTAGTCTTTTACCCTTTCTTCCCAGCTGCTCTGAGATGATCAGCTTTGTTCCACAAAGCACCCCCTTTATCGACTGCCTGAATTATGGGCTTAAAAGCAATGGAGTAAAATGACCATGGACTGGAGCCTGCGAAACCATGAGCCCAAATAAACCTTTCCTCCTTATAAGTTGTTCATCTCAGGCATAGTAATAGAGAAACAGTAACAGCATATATAACACTTTCAGACACCTACCTTTGCTAATAGACCCAGAAGACCTAAGATTTCCTATCTCCCAATTACAGTAAAACAGAAAATACAGGTAAGGACATAGAAAAACTTACTTTATTGTATTTTTACATAAAGTATATAGAACCTAGCATACAGTGTGAACATGGCTTCTCGTTTTTTTAAATATATATCCACTGAATGTCTAAATGTAGATACTGTTTTAGCTACAGGAAGCTTGCTTTAATGTCTTCAACTGTATCTAATCATCTCCAGAAAGTGCTTTCATATTCTTTTCTACGAAAGAAAGAAAATATCTTCCGATTGTGTTTAACTGTAATTCACTAGTTCCTCCCATCAATGTCATCCTATCCTCTTATCTTATTCACTGCTACGTATGCCGCCTCCTCCTCCACCATCTGCTATTACCCTCAGAGCAGTCCTTGGAATTTTCTATTTGCTGGTATTCTAGTAGAATGCCAGTAAATACTCAGGAAACTGGGGTATGAAGTACAGCTCTACAATTAAAACTGTGTAAACTCAAATGTAAGTTACAAATTTTCTTGGTGCAAGTTTCAAATTTTCTTGGCCTCACTTTTGTGTAAGAAGCTACACTGGTTATTGTTTCCCTATTAATGCTAAAATAATGTATAATTTTCAAGTCATAACTTACAATGTTATCTGCTAATTATATATAAAAAATGATAGTTACTATTTAGTATTTAACGCTTAGTTTAACAAACAGCATTTTGCATAAACTTGAATACTGGTTCCATAAGAACAGAAACCGGGACTCTTCTATTTACAAGGCTTCATATTATTTATCTCTTTACCAATATTTTATCACTTTATTAATATTTATTGGTAAAGCAGTCATTTCATCAGTATTCACTGCATGAATGAATGAATAAATTTACTTGCAGCCAAACTGTACTGTGATGGAAGATGAATCAGTTGCTTTGTGAAGCCCTGCTGAAGCTGAGCTGTCAGTGACCCCACAGGAAGTTCTAGTGCCGCTAGAGGAAAACTACACATGACTGTCCAGGAACAGAACTTCAGGGTCTGAGATTAGGGCCAGCCAAACCACTAACCTCCCTCCCTCAACCCAGCCTGTGTTCTCGCCACTCAGGGATGCCTCTCTCATTATCCTGCTAGATGACTCCGTTCCCATACCGTGCTTCTTCTTTGATTTCAAATTGCTTGGGGAGCTGCCCTCTCTTATAACAGAAAAGAGCTTTGCTGAACATGGGACTAAGAATCAAAAGCTTTCACAAGAAACCTCGGAGAACAACTTTTCCAAGCTCTGCATTTCACCAAGGAGATATGAAACCGTAAAAAGAAATTCCCTGCTCAGAACCACATAGCCAATATCAGCCTCACTTAGTTGCCTCCCACTTTTATATACCTGCTCTCTGCCATGTGCATCCTACCTGCTGAGTCCTTTTATGCCCGCGGAGCCCCTGGCCAGGCACTGCAATCGGAGTCTTTCAATGGGGTCAGTGGTAGTGGTGAGCTTTTTCTTGGCCTGGATGGCCATCTCTCGATCATGGCGTGCCGTCCCGGCCATCTGGAGAAAAGATAGCATGTCAGTGGAACTCGGGGCTCAAAAATGCCTCTAGCTGAGCAGGCAAACATCTCTCAGAAGAAAGTTCACAGCTTGTTGTCTTCACCTACCAAGTGCCATCTTCCACCTCCCAGAATTCCCAATTTTTAACTCTGCCACTATGCTTGGCATGGTTGTTACTACTTATTTATTCCGAATATATCTGCATTTTTCAGCCTTAATCCACACTTTTAAAACACAGCCATCTCACAATGTGCTTTGATCTTTCTGCAGCCCTCTGCCTCTCACAAAAAGTTCAGTTTCTCTACTCTTTTGAATCAACCATATATTTCATATCCTTTTATTTAGAATTCTCAAAAACAGCTAAGACCCCTCTGTTAGCAGCGGATGCTCAGAATAGGGAGAACCAGGAAGACAGCCAAGCCCCACAGGCTGGGAGCCAACCTGAAGCCTGAAGTCTGAGCAATTGCTTAGAGGACAACAATACGCAATATAGTAACTATTGTTGATTTCCTACTGTCTTAGCACTATTTCATTTAGATTGATTGTTGTTTTATTCCTTTAAAATAAAAACATAAATTTAAAAAACGAATTCTCCATAGTTTATTCACCCCACACTGAATGTTCTTCTCTTTTATCTAAATACTCTTTTTGTTATTTCTGTCTTCACTAAGACTCTCAACATTTAAGATTTACTGGTGATTCTTACCTAGCAATTAGTATGATCTCTGATTAACAAGTTTGTGTCCATTCATGCCAATAAGGATCTCAGATCAGAAAAAAATTAATAGTAAATAGACACTATGTATTTTTTCTTTTTCTTCTGCTTTGATTTTGTGGTGTGTGTGTGTGTGTGTGTGTGTGTGTGTGTGTGTGTGTGTGTTGAACATTCAGAAATAGGAGAGAGGTTAGGAAAGTGCCCACCTCCTAAAACACCTGGATAACAAGCCTCGAATTCTCAGATTCTCTCATTAGTGAAAAGAGTGCTAGACTGGAGGCTGGAGATCCCTGTTCTAGTCTTGCTTCTTCAGCTCGTCCCTGGTGATGTGCCACCAAGTCTCCAGGCTTCCCACACTCTCCTCTGTTAAGTGGAAGAACTGGGTTAGAGCAGCAGTGGTGAGCCTATGGCATATGTGTTGTTGTTTCCTTTTAAGACAAAAGATGTTAGAGTTCTTTTCCAAAACAAAACCGGTATTTAGGTTTAAGTATAATGTTGGCACTTTGTGATAAATAATTGAGTCAGGGGTTGCAGCTTGGCACTTGGTCTCCAAAAGGTTTGCCACCACTGGGTTAGATGACCTTTAAATTTCATTCCACGTCCAAAAACCACTAATCCGAGAAGGACCCAACTAAGAAAGAGAATTACAGGCCAGTCTCCCTAAAGAACATTGATGTAAAAATCCTCAAAAAAATATTGGCAAACAGATTGCAGCAAATCATCAGAAAGACTATACACCATGAAGCAGAATTCATCCCAGGGATGCAGGGATGGTTCAATATACGTAAATCCATAAACATAATACATCATATTAACAGAGCCAAGGGCAAAAATCATATGATCATTTCAATAGATGCATAAAAAGCTTCTGACAAAGTTCAGCACCCATTCATGATAAAAATCCTACAGAAAATTGGAATAGATCGTCTTTACCTCAATCTAATAAAAGCCATCTATGACAAACCAACAGTCAACATCATACTAAATGGACAAAAACTGAAAACTTTCACTCTAAAATCAGAAACAAGACAAAGATGCCCATTGTGTCCACTGCTATTCAACATAGTCCTAGAAACTTAAGCCAGAGCAATTAGACAAGAGAAAGAAATAAAAGGAACAAAGATAGGAAAGGAAGAAGGTAAAGTATCATCATTTGCAGATAGGGTAATACTCTACTTAGAAGACACTAAAAACTCCATCAAGAGACTTCTAGATTTAATAACCAAATTCAGTAATCTAGCTGGTTACAAAGTCAACACTCAAAAATCAATAGCCTTCCCATACACGAATAACAAACTCACTGAGAGAGAAATGAGGAAATAATACCTTTTACAATAGCATCCAAAAAATGAAACACTAGGAGTCATTCTAACAAAGGGTGTAAAAGAACTCTACACTGAAAACTACAGTCCTTTGGAAAAGTAGACCGAAGAGGATTTTAGAAAATGGAGAGATATCTCATGCTCTTGGATAGGAAGAACAAATATAGTGAAAATGGCCATACTTCCAAAACTGTAATACACATTCAATGCAATCCTAATAAAAATTCCAATAGTATATTTTACAGAATTAGAGAAAACAATACTAAAATTCATCTAGAATCAGAGGAGACCTAGAGTAGCAAAGGCAATCCTGGGCAACAAAGACAAGACAGGAGCATCACAATACCTGACTTCAAATTATACTATAAAGCTACTGTGATAAAAACAGTATGGTAATGGCAATAAAAAAATAGAACTGAAGATCAATATAATAGTTTAGAAGATGCAGAAACAATTGCAGACACACTAAGCTACCTTGCCTTTGACAAAGATGCCAACCACTTTTACTGGAAGAAAGATTGCCTCTTTAATAAATGGTGTTGGAAAAACTTTCTACATGCCAAAGATTCAAACTGGACCCATATCTTTCACCATGTACTAAGCTAAAATCAGAATGAGTTAAAGATATTAATGTTAAAACAGAAACACTAAATCTTCTGGAAGATAGAGTAGATAAAACTCTTGAAGATACTGGTGTAGGAAAGACTTTAGAAAAAAACCCAGATTACACAGGATTTATCACAAAGAGTCAACAACTGGGATCTCATCCTATTGAAAAGCTTTTGCACAGCAAGAGAAACCACCAACAGAGTGAAGAGACAACCCACAATGTGGGAGAATATGTTTGCCAGCTGTTCCTCAGATAAAAGGTTAATATTGAGAACATATAAAGGACTCAAAAAATCCATCCTCCCAGATTTAAAAACCCAATCCAACAATGGGCATCTGAGATGAACACATACTTCTCAGATGAAGAAGTTCAAACAGCAAATAAATGCATGAAAAAATGTTCAACAGCACTGGCTATTCGAGTGATGCAAATTCAAACAACACTGAGATTTCACTTCACCCCAGAAAGAATGGCAAATATTAAGATATCAACTCATAACAAATGCTGGAGGGGCTGTGGGGAAAAAGGAACCCTTCAACACTGTTAGTGACAATGCAGACTGATGCAGCCACTGTGGAAATCAGGGTGAAGATTCCTCAAAAAACTAGGATTCGAGGCCCCTTTCAATCCAGTTATTCTGCTTCTGGATATTATCCCAAAAGAATTAAAAACATCATATCACAATGATATATGTGCACCCACATTTATAGCAGCACAATTTGTAATAGCCAGATCTTGAAAACAACCTAAATGTCCATCAACTGAGGAATGATTTAAAAAGATGTGGTATTTCTATATGATGGAATACTACTCAGCCATAAAGAATGATAAACTGGACACTTTTATAGATAAATGAATGTGCACTGAGAGCATGCTTATCAGTGAAATAAGACATGCATGTGTAAAGTTGTATTGTTTCATTAGTGTGACAAGATGAAAGAAAAAATGTATATGTGTATGTATATGTATATAAAAACAGTTTAGATAGCTTTAAGAAAGAAGAAGAAAAAGCATAACAGCCTCCCTTGTCATTCACATAGCTTTTTCAGAAGCAAATCCAATGCCTCCCTTCACTGAACACCTCTGTAGATTCTGCCTTCTTTTCTATGCTTTTTCCGAGTCTTTTTATCTCAGAGACAATGACCTCAGCCAAAGCAATGACTCAGGTTACACTAACCCACTGTGAGGCATTCTGAGTTGATTTTTGGATGTCTTAAGAAGTTTTTATGTGCTATACGGTTTGGGGTTTTTGCATGTTGATATCCAGTTGTTCCAATATATTTATTGAAGGTACAAACCTTTCTCCACTTAATTGCTTTTACATCTTTGCCAGAAATCAATTGTCTATTATGTGGGTATCTATTTTGGGACTTCATATTGGTACCTTGGTGGCTTGTCTACCTTGATATCTATGCCATTTTGTCATGATTGGTGTAATTTTGTGATAAGTCATGGGTTTGGATGGGTTGGAGCTCTAATTTTGTTCCTTTATCAAAGCTGTTTAGACTCTTCTGAGTCTTTTGTATTTCTACAGAAATGTAAGAATCAGCATGTTAATTTTTATGAGAAATGATGTTGGCATTTTTAAAAAATCACTAGTGCTTATGAATTTCCTGTACAGTAAATGGAAAGTTAGAAATTACCTTATGAATGAAAAGAGCAAGGAGCAGGAGGGCAGGAAGGGGGTGCAGAGAGAAGCACCCGATGTGCAGCATAGAATGGTAATAAAGTGATCCCACCTTGATTCAAGGCTTCCCTCCCTGCCTAAATTCTGGCACTTCCCCGAGGGCCTCATAAATCTGTATTATGTGAGTTTCATCTGGATTTTTTTTAAATCCTCAGGAACATATTCATGGCTAGATTTAAATATTCAAGAATACTTCAAAACATGATGTTATACACGGCTATTAGATACAGTTTTACCCATAGTTCAAAAATAAGTAAACAAAAATTGTGTCTGAAACAGTCATCTTGACAAAAGAGTAACCTAAGGGCTAAAAATGTGCTAACTACCACTATTATATGAATTTCACAGATCGTGAAATGGCGATGCAGGGACATCAGTTAATCTGCGTATGTCAGAGAGCGACATGGCTCATTGAAATTCACTCAGCATTCAACCAAAATACTCAAAACCAGATAATTTATTACAAGGCAGACATTTATTTGTCTCACAGGTGAAGACTGAGAAGTCCAGGATCATGGTGCTGCACCCACTTGGCACTCAGCGAGCACCTTCTTGCCACCTGATAATGTAATGTGGGGCATCACAGGCTCAGACAAAGCCAGCGTGCTAGGTTGGGTCTCCTTCCCTCTACGTACAAAGCCACATTACTACCATCATGGAGTGTCCATGCTTACGACCTCATCTAATCCCAATTAGACCCCCAAGGCCTCATCTGCAAACTCCAGTGACGTATGACGTTATAGGTTAAGTTTCTAATGCATCAGCTTTGGAGTACACATTAAACCACAGCAGTCACAAAGGATTAGGTTGGTAAAGTGACCTGCCTAAAAGTCCTGGCCAACACCACAATACTGGACTTCTGATTTCCAAGTAGAGCTCTTTCTACTATAACACTTTGCAAAATAATATATAAGAAAATCAAAGCACACCTTGGTGGAGCTCGCTCATGGGAAGGAAGACAAATGCTGGAACCCAGAATCCCAGTCTGTCCCACCTCCTGAGTCAGTCCCCACCCAGGGATGACACAGGCAGTTTCCTCTGGAATCTAATTTGATAAATTCAAGGGGAAATTACAATCTTTTCTGCAAGACTATGATGGAATTTTAAAGATTTGTGTTAACCAACTTTTAAATCAGTCACTCAATTCATCAACAAACAAATAACAATTATCCTGTAGTATTTTCAAAGCACATGCTGGCCAGAAAGTGGGAGTATGAAGGACTCAGAGAGACAAGCTCTTGACTAGCTTAGACTCTTAAGCGAAACAGAAAATAAAGTTTGCAAGAACTGCAGCTTCGGAGGAAGGCAGGATTTAGTAAGCTCTCTGGGAAAAAAAAAAAAATAGGGCAATGCTGAGAATTTTTGAGGTTTGTGCGAATGCACCAGGCAACAGAGTCTCTCCCAACATAATGTCACGCTGTCACAGACATCACAGCACTGCTCAAAGTGTTCCTGACTCCAAAAGACCCTTTCTGACTCTCATGGTGGTAAGACCAGCCAGACTCAGGAAAGATGAAAATGCACTGTCCTCCCCAGTGCACGTGTCTACATCGCCACCCAGTGTCACCTCATCGTCTCCGCAGTTCTCCAGCAGGAGCACAGTCTATGCCTTTAAAGGGAAACTATCAGGGGCTTAGGAAGACTGCGCTCTGTGCTCCATGTGGAGCGAAACACAGAACAGACAACTTTTACAGCAAGGGAGGGGAGTAGACTCCCACTGGTGAACTACGGATCACAAGAGGGCAACCAGCCTAGCTTTAAAGGGTGGATTTCTGCAGACATCACAAAGACCATGATGTCTAAGCTTTATTCCTCGGAGAAGGTGACAGTTACCCAGGCTGGCCTGGGAGAGGAAAAGGAAGGGAACTGAATATTTTAGATGGCAAGTGTCCTGAGTATGTAGCCAATGACACAGGCACACCTATGATATCTGTGTTACTTTTCTTTTAAATGTCACTGGCCGAGTTATTTTTTCCTAAACTGAAACCTCAGTATCCAGGTTTAATTGCAGCGTTGGCACTTGACCATGAATAAATGGGTTTTGCTTTGCAGTTTGGCCACATCTCTAAAATGTTCACTGTCACTGGCCTAGACCAAAGTGAAAAATGATGATATAAATAAAGAAATGCAATTATTTTAGTATGATCAGAAAATAGGGGCACAGGTTAATGAAGACTTGAGGATGTCCGGAGGAAATATTAGCAGAAGAAATGTGCATGAGGATGAATCTGAGCAGAGGAGCAGGCACCAGATCACAAAACTCCAGCTTGGCGGGGTGGGGTCACAAGGGCTCGAAACAGGAAACACCAGATGCCATTGCAGAAGGCGCATCTGGGGCTCGTGTGGAGAATGGTGGGGAGGAGGGATAGGAAGACCTGGGGAGACTGCTGTAGCCAGGGTTCCGCTTGGGCAGTGAGGACAGAGAAGGGAGACATGCAGAATGGCAAGCAAATGGGTGCCCAGTTTGAGAGGGTGGACGCGGGCTTTCATCCACAGTGTCAGATGAGAGGGATATTCGCAAAGCAACAAAACGCAGCAGCCTGGAGATCTGGGACAGGGGCTGAGTGGGGCTGCCAGGAGCAAGGAGCACAGGCAAAGGAATCTGTGACATTGGTCCAGCAAGGCCGCCTCCTTCCACTGCCCTGGTGCACAGGCTGCTGCCACTGCCAGCACGCTGCCTGCCTCAAGGGAGCGGATTTGGAAAGCTGACGATGCCTGGAAATCTATGTTTGTCATGGTTTTCAGACAACTTTAAATCAACACCTGATAGGTAAGGGAAATGTTCAAGCCCCAGCCTGCATACTATCAAACTGTCATTGATGCTCCCTGGTGGAGTAAACTAGATTAATCTCTCCCTTCCCATTGCCTGGCCTTCCCTGGCCTCCTATCCCCTGTTGTTGTTGTTGTTGTTGTTGTTGTTGTTGTTGTTGTTGTTGTTCTTCTTCTTCTTCTTCTTCTTCTTCTTCTTCTTCTACTTCTTCTTCTTCTTCTTCTCCTTCTCCTTCTCCTCCTTCTCCTTCTCCTTCTCCTTCTCCTTCTCCTTCTCCTTCTCCTTCTCCTTCTCCTTCTTTTTCTTCTTCTTCTTCTTCTACCCGGCCAACAGTCTAGGTGAAGTGGATCTTATTGTAAAAGAGGCTACCCTTGGTCCACACACTATAAAACATCAAGAACGTCCATACCTTCTTTATGGCAAAATCCAAATGAAATGCCTCAAGACCTCTCTAAGAACCCCTTCCCCTTCTGTTTCTCCTAAACTACATTCTTAGCTTTCCTCTTTCAGAGTAAAGACCGTTGCTTGAAAAAACTCAAGGAACTGAAGCAAGTTTAGTCAGCTTGGGTGAGTTTAAAAGAGTTAGCCAGAGCGGAACTGGAGAGGGAGAGACAGGGTAAGTAAACAGGGAGGCCGTGCAGAGGCCATTCGAGGCCCAGCAGAGACATACTGCGGATAGCAAGTGTCTCTCTGGCAGGCAGCAGTGTGCACTGTGATAGTTAGACCAGCTATTCCAAGCCCAGGTTTTCACCTGCACCCTGCTGCTTGGGGACAACATACTCTGTGCGGGAACTTTTCTACTGAGGAGGTCACAAGCTATGGTTTATATCTAGATGTATCCTCAAAGCCTCAGTCAGTTGTAGGTGGGGCTTTGGGAAGGTGGTTAGATCATGGGGGATGTGGTCATCATCAACGGATTAGTCCACTGATGACTGTCTAGATAAATGGGAGATGAAACCTAGTCAGAGGAGACAGGTGGAGGGTGATGTTCTGGAAGGTTCTATCTCTTTTCCTCTTCCTTAATTGCCCTATTTTTATACACTGCAGGCCATGAGCTGTTTCTTTTCCAGGCCCCTCTGCCCTGCCTTAGAGTTAACTATGGACTACAACTTTTACAAATTTAAGCTGTGAGTGCTGGATATTGTTTCTCAGTGATTAGAAAGTAACTGACATAGCACATTAGCCTATCCCTATGAGAACAGCAAGGACCTAAAGAGCAGTTCAATTTTTCCAAAGGTCTTAGATCACCTCGTAATGCCAGCAAGCCTATTTCTCATTTCCCATAAGTCAATCTGGTGATAATTTTTGCCTTAAGAGTGTTCTTAGGCATGTCTGTGTTCGTTAATATGTCTCCCATTACATTAGCCATTTTCAATGACAAGGAACCTGGAGTTGCTCTAAGAGCCCTGTGTGATCATAAGACATTCTATTATGTAGAAAGAAGAAAAAACAAAGGCAGTATAGAGAACAACTAGAAATCAATTAAACAAGGAGGGCTTAAGCTAGTTCTGAGGAGGTAGAAAGCATGTGCCTTCTCTCGAGTTCTCATCCAAGTCATAACCCTCCCCAGCTCTGCTAGCCCAGGTTTGATCCTAAGCGCGGAAACTGCTCACTCTCCCATGGGAGTAGAGGACTGTAATGACTTCTTGTGATTTTGTGTTGCTTTGTTAATCCAAGTTTAATTTTTCATACCAGAAGCAGGACTCAACTACTTTTGACAGTTTCCATCTCTGTATCATACTAAAATGGCTCAAGCGTTGGTCAGAGATAAGAATTTAGCAGCATCTCTACATCTAGCCCACCAGGATCTCCCCCGACTCCTTCCTTTAAATGGCCCAATCAGGTATTTGCCCATGAATGTGAAGTGAACAATGCTTAACCCTTTATATATAGTGCTGCCCACTCACTTCCTAAAAGCTATTCAGGAGGGAGAAGGTCTCATGACCTAATCAATTCCTAAACTTCTTAACAGTTCTTAATTAGGGATTGTTACATGAATTTTGGAGATCACTAGCACATTCAAATCATAGCAGCACATGTTGAGAATAGCCTAGCAGGTTGCTAGAAAGTGCACACACCATGGTGTTCTCTTCTGAGAATGAGATTGAAGACTCAGATGTATTGAAGGAAGACTTGTAGTAGAGAGGCTGGCAACCCAGGTAAAGGGTGCATGTCAGTATTGCTGACATGGTGAGAGATAGTTTATCAAACCCACCTGAGCTTAGTTCAACTTAGTTCAACCCCAAGTGTACTGCTGGGTATAAAAATTGCTGCACTAATTCTTCAGATGATATTGTATTGCAGTGATTCCCAACCACGTATGGTTTTATGCCCTGAAGACATTTTTGGTTGTTACAGTTAGAAGACAGGGAGAGAATTACTTGTATCTAGTGGGTAGAAGTCAGGGATATTACTAATCCCGCAGAAAACAAGGCATCCCATGACATGAGCCCAGAGTTATCTGATCCAAAATGTCAATGGTACTGCTTGTGAATATGAAGATGCCCACACATCTTTACTAAACAGAAAATTAGATGCCATAGATGTGGATGCTAGGGTAATACATTTTGACATTTTCAGATATGTTTAATGTATGCCTTCATTTAGAAACTAAGTGATAGGATATATAAAGTCACCCTCTACTAAAAGGAGTAAAAACTTGTAAGGAAATACGTGTGTGTGTGTGTGTGTGTGTGTGTGTGTGTTACTTTTCTCTCATTCCTAAGGCAAAATATCCAATATGCAAAGTTAAAAGGGGAAGGCTTTATTTAACTCACAGTTTGTGGGGGTTCCGGTGCATAGCTGGCTGGCTCCATGGATGGCACAAGGTAGAGGGGCATCAAAGAGAACAGCTGGTGGTGCCCACAAGGTAGCAAAGGCAACAAAAGGGAAGGCAAGCCTTTTTCTATTCCTTGTATTGTATTCAGTCTACTGAGATTAGGACAGTGACAATTCAGTAAGTGGACTGATTTAATCACCCACTCATCATCCTAGCACCCTTAATTCTAGCATTGCACCATGAATTAATCACATATTCTAGATTCAACCACCTCTGAAAAAGATCTACCAGTGACTGCATGAGGTTTTGATGCAATATCTAGACACAAACCATAATACCACAGCTCAGGATAAGATGAAGACATGAAGAGAAGTGATAGTAATAACAATTGTAAGTATGTCAAGGCCACAGCCCATGGCTAAAGCACTTTACATACAAGAACACACTGCCTTATGTCATGGGGTCTGTCCTAATATAGGAAGTCAAGAAAGACCTGGAGATAGCATGTTATTTATTTGAGAACGTGAGCACCACTAGGGAGTGGCAGAGCCAGAGCTATAATGACTATGCAGAGATGCTGATAAATTGTTTGGGGAATTTAGAGAAGGTAAGGAAAGAAAACATCAGGGAAAATATCACCGTGGCTCACTGATTGGACTTTCCTGCAGCACAGGGTAGTGGCTGCCAGGCAACTCACAGCTCTGTAAAACAACCGCTTTCTCCACTTCAAGTCCCTAGTTTGGGCTTTCAAATCCTAAAACTTCCTTGAGATGGACAGTATACAGAATTCTCTTCTTGCATCAATTTTTTCTTGCTGTTGTTTCTGTTTTTTAAAATGAAGTGTGAAATTTTGTGAGCTTTTTTAAAACTTAAACTCAAAACTCTTGTACTAGCATCCATAAAATTATTTACAATTTTTTACATATTGTTTTAAAAATGAGACATGGAGAGAGACAGAGAGAGAGAGAGAGAGAGAGATCTGTTTTTTCCTAGGATTGTCACTCTCATTCATCACTTAAAATATGATAGTATTTAATCTTTAGGGATGCAAGCATATTGTAGAAATATGGAACTCCAGCCATTGGCACACATGGGGCTGGGTTAGACCCAGGCCCCTCCCCCAACCCCACCTCTCCAGCAGACTACCTTGCAGGAACCAGCAACTCCAGCCAGTGAAGTAGGAGGATCCTGGCCAAAACCAGGCCTTTCCCATGTCCCCTGCAGTCCTGACCATCCCACCTCTGGACCTAGGAACTCCAGCCCACAATGTGTGCCCCTGCAGTTCCACCACTGTCATCTGGGATACTCCCACTTCCTGGACCTACTATTGCTTTTGAACTTTGGCTCCCACACATCCCCCCAGAACCTTGGACTGCAGTGGATTAACCATGCAGTATGGAGAGGAGACTCAGTAACCCCTCATTCAAACAGAAGAACTCAGCAGGAATCCATCAATGAGGTGAGTTTGCCCCTAAAATAGGAATAGAGTTTTCCACCTTCAGTGGGAAAGCAGGAGTAACCCAAATCCCCCTCTAGAAGTAGGCCACTGGCAAGCTTGACAAGTGGGTCAGTGAGTTCTTCCTCCACACAGAGAATATCAGGTAGGTTGAGGAGGGCCTCCCCCAACCTGGAGAAAATTGAGGGGGACTATGGGACACCCAGAGACACAGTAAGGTCCCAACTGAGACAAACACTGTAAACAGGGAGGTATGGTGACTCTGAAAAACCTGAGGACATAATAACATCAGGAACTATACTCCTCAGCTTGTCAGCCTTGGAATAATATAGGTCTCACCTAACAGGCCCTGCAGGGGGAAGTTAGGTGACTGGCCTGACTTCTTTGTAGGACCCAGCAATTGGACAAATATCAACCTTACATTAGGACGCCAAGGTGCACACTATCAACAGTTGGCACTAGTGGGGTAAAAGGACCAAATATTAACCTGAAAGGGGAAAATGGCAAAGTGAAAAAAGCAAAATGCAATCTCAAACATCTAGTCCATCGGGAGAAGTACAGGAGACATTTAAATAGAGGACTTCAAAAGTAGCACACTAGAAATTTCTGAAAAGCTAGCAAGTGAAATTAAAAAACAACTCCATGAGGCTAAAGAGGAAATCAAATTAGAAGTAATCTCTCATGTAAAGACAGAAACAACAATCTTAGTAAAGGAGTTGTTCAGTGAAGCTAGAGAAGAAATAGATTTGAAAAAAAAGTACAGGAGCATGGGAAATTGATTGAAATCTTGGATGAATAATACAGAAAACAAGCAGAATTCACGAAACAAGCTCAAAGAGACATCTAAGAAACAAAAAGTTCTATTGAAAGCTGGCAAAACCATTTAAATGAAGCTGAGGATAGAATTTCATACTTTAAAGACAGGATCACAATTAGCAATCATGAAAGGATAGAACTTTTAAAAATAACAAAGCAGTATGAAATGACAACCCAGAAGCTTCAAGATGATGCCAAGAGAAACAACATAAGACTAATAGGCATCAGTGAAGATGTAAGAGTCAATGCAACTGACGTAACTATTCACAGAATAGCAGAAAATTTCCCAAATATGAGGAAAAAAATCTGATATGCAGATAAGTGAGACATATAAAACACCAAACAATCACAACCAACATAAATCTATACCCAGACATATAATAATTAAAATCCCAGACATGCAGCACAAAAACAGAATGCTAAATGCTGTTAGAGAAAAGACATGACTTACCTAATCAAGGAAAGCCCATTAGAATCACAGCAAACTTTTCAGCACAAACCCTCAAGTCAAGACCAGCTTGGAGTGAAGTATTTCAAACCCTAAAAGAAAACAACTTTCAACCCAGATTGATGTACCTAGAAAAACTTAATTCAAATTTAATGGAGAAACAAGATACTTCCATGACAAAGAACAACTGAAGAAATTCATGTCCACCAAACCAACCCTAGAAAGAGTATTGAAAGACATACTAGATAGAGATAAAAAATGACCACAATCTCCAGAACAACAACAGAAAAAATCTCCAGAACAACAACAAAAAGAAACCACCAGGTAAGACAAGCAATTAAACAAAGGAGAAAAGTAAACAACTAGAACGTAACATGGCAAAGTTGAGCCAGTACATATCAGTTATATCCATAAATGTAAATGGCCTCAATTCACTTTTCAAAACAAATAGATTGACAGAATGGATCAAGTAACATGATCCCACAATATTCTGTACACAAGAAACACATCTGACCCAAAAGGAAACTCAAATTAAAAGTCAAAGGATAGAAAACAGTATTCCATGCAACAGGAACCCAGAAAAAAGCAGGGGCCACTATTCTATTTTCAGACAATGTAAACTTCAAACCTAAAATGATTAAAAGAGATAAAGAAGATCACTACATACTCATTAGTGGAAAAGTTCAAGAGGAAGAACTAACAATTATAATATATATGCATCAAATACAGGAGCATCCAACTATATAAGACAAATACTAATGGACAAGAAAACCAAATACACAAGAACACAATTATAATGGGGGATCTTAACAACCCATTGTCACAAAGAGATAGATCAATTAGATAAAAAATCAGCAAAGAAATAATAGAACTGAATCATACCTGTGAGCAATTGGACTTAGTAGATGTTTACAGAGTGTTCTACCCAACCACATCAGAATACACGTTCTTCTCAGCTGTGCATGGGAAATTCTCTAAAATAGACCACATAGTATCCCATAAAACATTCTTAAGTAAATGCAAAGGTATTAAATTACCCCATGCATAGTATCTGACTATAGCACACTGAAATTGGAAATTAATGGCAAAAGCAATTGCAAAACTTCTATAAAATACATGGAACTTAAATAACAACCTTCTGAAAAACCAGTGGGCTACAGATGAAACTAAAGAAAAAATAAAGCAATACCTACAACTCAATGAAAATACAGAAACAACATGCTGCAATCTGTGGGATACAATGAAAGTGGTCTTAAGAGGGAAATATATAGCAATAAATTGTCATATCAAGAAAACAGAACAAGCACAAATAAACAATCTAACATTTCATCTCAAGCTTTTAGAAAATAAAGAGCAAGTTAAACCCAAAGCTCATAGAAGAGAGGAAATTGTAAAGATTAGAGCAGATATCAATGCATTAAAACTAAAAAAAAAATACAAAGAATTAATGAATCAAAAAGCTGGGGTTTTTTTTTTTTTTTTTTGAGGAAATAAACAAATCTCTAGCTAACCTTTTAAAGAAAAAGAAAGAAAAAACCCAAATTCATGCAATAAGGACTAAAAAGGGGGAAATTACTACAGACCCCATGGAAATTCAAAAGATTATGAATACCTACTTTGAAACCTCTACTCACATACAGTGGAAAACACAGAGGAAATGGACAGATTTCTAGAAACATATGAACCACCAAAGCTCAACCAAGAAGATATTGCAATTTTGAATACTCAATATCACCTATTGAAATTGAAAATGTAATTAAAACCTCACCAACAAAGAAAAGCTAGGTCCTGATAGAGTCATGGCTGAATTCTACAAGAAATTTAGAGAAGATTCGATACCAATACTCCTTAAACTCTTCAATGAAATTGAAAAGGAAGCAATCCTCCCTAAATCATTCCTGGAGGCAAGTATTACTCTGATATCAAAACCAAAGAAAGACCCAACCAAAAGGGGGAACAATAGGCCAATCTCACTAATGAACATTGATATAAAGATTCTCAATAAAATACTGGCAAATAGAATGCAGCAAATCATCAAGAAGATTATACATCATGACCAAGTGGGATTCATTCCAGGAATGCAGGGATGGTGTAACATATGCAAATCAATAAATGTAATATACCACATCAACAGAGCCAAAAACAAAAACCACAAGATCATCTCAATAGATGCAGAAAAAGCTTTCAATAAAGTCCAACACATGTTCATGATAAAAGCCCTTCAGAACCTCATAATACACGGTGTCCACCTCAATCTCATAAAGGCCATCTATAACAAACAAACAGCCAACATTATGCTAAATGGACAAAAAGAAAAATCTTTCACTCTAAAATCAGGAACAACGCAAGGATGTCCACTATCACTACTCCTATTCAATATAGTTCTGGAAATACTAGCCAGGACAATAAGACAAGAGAGAGAAATAAAAGGAATAAAGATAGGAAAAGAAGAAGTTAAATTATCACTTCTTGCAGATGACATGATACTCTGTATGGAAGACCAAAAAAAAAAAAAAACTCCATTAAAAGACTACTAGAGGTAATAAATAAATTCAGCAGCATAACTAGATACAATGTTAACACTCAAAAATCAATATCATTCCTGTGTACAAACAAACTCACTGAGAGAGAAATTATGAAAATATCGCCTTTCACAAAAGCATCTAAAAAATGAAATACTTAGAAATCAACCTAAGAATGTAAAAGACCTATGTGCTTAAAATTATGCTATGCTAAAAAAGGATATTGAAGAGGATATTAGAAAATGGAAGGATATTCCTTGAACTTGGCTAGGAAGAACCAACATTGTGAAAATGGCCATACTCCCAAAATTGTTATATAGATTTAATGCAATGCCAATCAAAATACCAATAACATACTTCACAAATCTAGAGAAAAACACTCCTAAAACCCATTTGGAAACAGAAGAAACCTAGAATAGCAAAGGCTATTCTGGGCAGCAAAGGCAAGGCAGGAGGCATCTCAATTCCTGACTTGAAACTATACTACAAAGCCACACTGATAAAATCAGCATGATACTGGCAAAGAAATAGACCTGAGGATCAATGGAACAGATTAGAAGATGCAAACATGACTACAAAGACACTCAGCCACCTGATACTTGACAAAGGGGCTAACCATGTTCACTGGAAGAAGGATAGCCTCTTTAATAAATGATGTTGGAAAAAATGTCTCTCCACAGACTAAGGACTGAAACTAGACTCATGTCTACACCATGCATAAAACTAAAGTCTAAATGGGTCAAAAATCTAAATATTAACACAGAAACACTAAATCTACTGGAATACAAGGTAGGAAGAAGTCTTGCAGACATAGGGGTAGGCAGAGAATTCATGAACAAAATGCAAACTGCACCCGAAATACTTCAAAGAATCAACAACTGGGAGCTCATATTATTGAAAAGTTTTGCACTTCTAAAGTAATCATCAACAGAGTGAAAAGAAAATCCACAGAATGAGAAAGAATTTTAGCCAGCAACCCCTCAGACAAAGGACTTATATGCAGAACATATAAATAATTGAAAAACATCAAGCCCCCTAATTCAAAGACCCTCTCTAAAAATGGGCATCTGAAATGAACACACATTTCTCAAATGAAAATATCCAAATGGCAAATAAATACATGAAGAAATGTTCACCATCACTGGTCATTCGAGAAATGCAAATTAAAACAACATTGAGATTTCATCTCACTCCAGAAAGGATAGCTGCCATCAAGAAATCAACTGATAGCAAATGTTGGCGAGGCTGTGAGAAAAAAGGAACACTGCTCCACTGTTGATGAGAGTGCAGACTGGTGCAGTCACTATGGAAATCAGTATGAACATTTCTCAGAAGACTAGGATTGAAAGTGCCATTCAATCCAGCTATTTCCCTCCTGAGTATTTTCCCAGAAAAACTGAAAAGGTCATGTCACAGTGATATACATGTACCCATGTTCATAGAAGCACAATTTGTAATAGCTAAATCTTGGAAACAACTGAAATATCCATCAACCACAGAGTGGATGAAAAAGATGTGATATTTTTATACAATGGAATATTACTCAGCCATTAAAAAGGATGATCTTGAGGTCTTCATAGGTAAATGGAGGCAACTTGAAACTATCCTCATAAGTGAAATAAATAAGAATCATATTTATAAATATCACATTATGTCTGTAGTATAAAACATAATAAGAACTTTAGGAGTAATAAAACCCAA